ATAATTTTAATAAATATTTTGAATGTTATCTTATCTCATTAATCGAAATATGGTTGAGATAATGATAAGATTTTATCACTTTTAAAAATTCAAAGTTCAATTGAATTAGACCTCCCAAAGCATACATTTCCCTATAAATAGGTATCATGTGTTCCCTTTTCAATTACATTCATTTCTCTATAAAATACATGCAAACACAAATATACAATATTCATTAGTACGTGAGTGAAGGGTTGAAGTCTCAAATATATTCCAGTACTTCTCTTATCACTTTCACAAGATATAGGTAAGTGTATAAGTATTTTATGAGATTATATGCGCACGTTAAGTTTTGGAACATTGATTATGAGAACCTTTACTATGTTCTAAGTTTGGACCGAAATATAGTAGCGCTACACATGAAAATTCTATACCACCTATGTTCGATAAAGATTTTCATGTCTCACTATATATGTATGTATGTATGTATAAAGTTTCTTTAATTCTGTATAATATTTATCCATGTATTTATATTCTTATTGAGATTTTATCTCATCTCCTCCTTATACCTCTTTCAGAAAATTAATGGTTCATGGCAACCAAAGCTTATATTTATTTATTTAAGAATTTTTGTAGTAAATTTTTATTTGATGTCAAGTTTCAAGTTAAGGTTTAGCAAACTTCATTTTTATGAGAATATTTAGCCCCGTTTTGGTGAAGATTAAAATCAGATTTTTAGTAGATATTAATAGAAGTTGATGAAATGTAGATTGAAAAGTTGTGGGGCTAATAAAATATGTGGTTGAAATGAATTGTTGGCTTTAAATTAAATTAAAATGTATCTTTTAATCTGTACCAAACAAGGGCTCAATTAAATTTCAAGTTCTAGAAACCAAATTTTTATGTTCAAATACGATTTTAGTGACATTCAAATTCTAGAACTCGGGTTGTCACATAAGAGTTAGTTTAAGCTTGTGATTCAAGTGGGAACTATCGGATTTTGAGTGGGAGATATCTAAGATCTAACTAATTTAAATGATTATTGGATCCGAGTGGAAGCTAAGATCTATCTAATTTCAATGATTATTGGTTTAGAGAACTAGTGGAAAATTT